GTTTACTGTTTGTTAACAGTGTTTGTTTACTGTTTGTTAACAGTGTTTGTTAACTGTTTGTTAACAGTGTTTGTTAACAGTGTTAGTTTACTGTTTGTTAACAGTGTTTGTTTACTGTTTGTTAACAGTGTTTGTTAACTGTTTGTTAACAGTGTTTGTTAACAGTGTTTGTTTACTGTTTGTTAACTGTGTTGTTTGTAAACAGTGTTTGTTTACAGTGTTTGATGTAATTATTTCTGACAGCATCAAGTCACATATAATAATGTCTGACAGCATCACGTCACGTGTAATAATTAGAGGTTATTATATGACCTTTTGATATCATATCTCTTATCAGCCCGAGAGTCCCGGTATCAGCACGAAGGGCCAAAGGCCCCGTGGGCAGATATCGGGACCGCAAGAAATGTCCCTCTCCCTATTTCGATAACAGTTTTTTTCCAAACCGTCGTCAATACTTAATCAGTTAAAGTTAAATGAGGATACCCGAAGTAAACTGTGGTCCCCACTTTCCTGTTACATTTTAGATTAACCCAGGTTGGTACAGACGAGTACTTTATCAGAATACACTATAAATTAGACGATGAGGGTACAGACGAGTACTTTATCAGAACACACTATAAATTAGACGATGAGGGTACAGACGAGTACTTTATCAGACTACACTATAAATTAGACGATGAGGGTACAGACGAGTACTTTATCAGAATACACTATAAATTAGACGATGAGGGTACAGACGAGTACTTTATCAGAATACACTATACATTAGACGATGAGGGTCCAGACGAGTACTTGATCAGAATACACTATAAATTAGACGATGAGGGTCCAGATGAGTACCCATTCCGTGTGATATTGAGTTTGTAGCGTTCAGTGGGTATTTATTGGCTCGCCTATTCGTAACGGAGGTTAAGGTCGGGGTGAGGAAAGAGAATGGGAGAACAAGCCCCCTAAAAGATGTAATTGTCACCCTAAATTTCAACCTCATGGCAAGTCATATTCGAATACCTTAATCACAAATCGGAATATATATATGTAATTTAAATTGAACTTGTACATGAGCTTTTAAAAAGGTATATAACCAGGTCAACGAAGTCAAAAATACGGCATTAAGGCTGATGTAATGATAAAAGGTGCTCACCAGATTTATAACATGTCAATTTCTAAAGCGACCCAACTGAATGTTATGAAATGACATGTTATTAGAAGATCATTTATATACCTAGGTCATGCGAGGCTTTATTTATCTTTAACTATGTGTGGAGAGGCATACCGGCCTCACAAGAAGGTGATTGTTGCTATGGGAATGTACAAAAATCATAGCGCCAGTAAAGAGAAACACACACAGCCACGGTGAGTGATCGAACGTTTAATGACGGAAAACGGAAGAGCGGCACATACGTGTAACACACAAAACGGAGCCCGGTCCGGGATCTCCGGAACCATAATAACTAACATACATTACACTGGCGCTACCCTCTATTTCTGTGTAAATGACTTATGGCTAAGTTATTATGAATGATAAGGAAACATTGACCGCAATGTTGCAAACAACTATAAATGAACGTTACTGAATATGGTGACACAACAGTTCTATATGACTCACAGATCGTTTGATCAAAATATAAACTAACACTAGTAACAGTCAACTGGAATTAAACTTTGTAAGAGTAAATGTTTTTTTTTTAACATTGTCATGATTCACAATAAAGTATTAAACACTAGCCATACAATTAATAACATAGGTTATTTGACCAATATGAATGTGGGTAAAATGAATTACTGATCCAACACTGAGTAGTGAAAGTTCTGCTAATACAGCTCATAGTCTTTGAGTTTTTGGGGCAACTGACGATCACGTTTAGGACGTGTGTCACACGAGGGTGAAGTTGGGGAAACAGTCAAAGTGTTCGAATCAGTTTCTGTACTAGTTGGAAGGTCTGAAGAACTACCTGGGGGCTCAGAAATTACCGACGGTATTTCAGGCAGGGAAGGAGGTATAATGTCAGCGGATATTGGTACATTGTTGGAGAAATCCGATATTTGCGAAGGACCCTCTACTTTAAAGCAATCTGAAGTCTTCACACGGTACGATGACTTACGTAATTGACAGCCAACAAACTTTTGGATATTACACCATTGGCCATCAACGCTTACCACTAAGTATCTGTCGCGGGCACACGATTTGTTCCTATCGGAGAACAAATATACAAGATCACCTCGGTTTAGCCGAGGAGGGATTGGTTGTCGACGCGATGGGGTTTTGCTTATCTCACTGTAAGGATGATTCTTGTTCCTGTCGTCGTGTTGTTGCATAAGGAGTGATTGATCCTCTACGGGTATCTGTCGGTTGTAGAATTGGTCTCGCTGGAAAAGCATTTCACGAGCAGACAGACCGCGTTTCCTAATGCGAGTGTTGAGTCGTGCTGTAGCGAGGGAGAGAACGATGGGTGTGACGGCACGGCACAATGGATCCTGACGAAGTATTTCTGTTTCTAACTCCTGGATGGCCTTTTCAGCCACAGGGTTTTTATTAACGTTTTTAGCGCGTCCCAGTTCCACAGATAACCTATACTTGGCTAGAGTTTCATCGTTTACAAGGGATTTGAATCCTGGTGCTGGGTCCGTGCGAATAACAGCCATAGGGCCATCGAGTGGATGAAGGTTGATGCACAATTGCAGTAGGCCATCGCGAAGGGATTGATGTTTTTCGTCCTCAATCAGCATGGTGCTGGTATAGGATGACACGCACTCCCTGACGACCAGAATAAGTTGGCGCTCGCGCTTTATGACATCCGCAGCAAACTGGGTACCCACAGAGGCTGGCGGATCCCCACAGCTTTGTTCCTGAAGAAACTTAGGTGCGTTGGACAGGGCGGCACACTGGTGGCAACAATCGGTGGTGCGTTTGATTGCGGACTCTAGGTCAAGTGCGTAAAAATGGCGTTGGACGGCGCACCTGAGCTGGTGGTTTGAAGGATGGTCAAGTTTTAGATGTAAGGCTGTCAACAGACCATCGAGGACCTGTCTGGGAATAATAATGCGGTCGGTTGAACTGGCAAACAGTGCGTCACGTTTGACGACAAGGAGGCCGTCCCTAGAAAGAGAAGCAACGTTTAGGTAACGTTTGACATCCTTGACCGTAGTTTGTTTCTTGGAGGGCCGGGTGCCCTGACACAGATGCGCGTGTGTTCTACGAAGGTCTGTACAATCGGATTGTATAGACAACCATGCGGACCGACTGGTGTACGGCAACTTGGACGATCCTGCTAGGATGTCATCGACGGACACTTGACCAACAACGCTAGCGACAAACGTGTTGACGAATGAGCAAATTTGACATGTAGGCTCATTGCACACGGGGGCGTTGCGGCTCGCGAAGTCGGATGGAAGTATAGCAGAGCCTGACACGTGTCGTAGCGACACTTGGAAGCGGCTCGCTGTGGACAGGAATGTTGAGGTTCGAGGGCTAGCAGAAAATTCTCCTCTGCATAATTTCTCAAAAGCTTGCACACATGGTTTGCTGTCAGTTAACACACAAGCCTTTGTAGTTGACTGGATGATGTATGGACTGAAATGTTTTATGGCGGACGCGATGGACAGAGCCTCGATTTCACACGGAATCCAATTGGTCTGGTTCTTACGCAGTTTGGCACTGAAATAGCCTGCAAGACAGACTTTGTTGTTACGAGTGACGTACAGTGTTGCCCCTAGTCCAGGGTCTCTGACTGCACCGTCTGTCACTATCCATAGTTGGTTAGTAGACGTGGGTAGGGTGATGGTGCGGTTAGAAGATAACGCCTTCTGGGCATTTGTAAAGTCATGGAGGAGTTCGTCGGTCCATTGGATGATCTCCTTTGATTCGCGTCCACCTGCGACAACCCTATCAAGCGGAGAGAGGAGTGATGAACAACCTTGCATGACTCTCGCAAGTACTTTGTATGCTCCGATGAACGCACAAAAACCGTAAACGGTGTTTGATGGGGGGCAAGAGGAAAGTGTCGCGACACGGCGGGGACTTGCGCTGATTGTACCTAGTCGCCATATCCACCCCAATATGGTAGTTTCCTTTGGGGAGATAACTGTCTTTGGAGCGGAGAGGTTCAAGCTACATTTCTGTAAGGCCTGAAGGACGGATTTAAAGCTTTGTAGTAGTTCTTCAAAAGTCTGGCCACCGCAGTACAAGTCGTCGGTAAGTTTCGCTATGCATTCAGCATCTACCAGGTCTCCGAGGACACGGCAAGTTAATTCCTCTAGCGCAGTTGCTGAGCCTGACATACCCATCGCGGTACGGGCATACACCCGGGTGTCTTTGAAGGGGGTTACAACACCGCAGTACTTCATGGATTCCTTAGCAAGGGGAATCTGATAAAAAGCCTTTGTGAGGCCAGTGGCAATCAGATACTTCCACTGGGCGACTTGACGGAGGGTTGAGTCTACATCCGGCATCAGCGATGGCTGGGGCTTACTGTATCGCCCTACGTCAGCAAATGCTGTGACTAGTCGAAAACCTCCGTTAGGCTTTTTGACAAGGAATGATGGGTTTACGTATTCGAAAGATATGCCAATGTCCTCTGGTCGACGAAACACACCTACAGACTCAAGTTCGTCAAATTTGGCTTGGAGCTCTGAAAGTTGGTTCCTCGAATATTGAGGTAAGCGGCCTTTGCGCTGAGGGGGTTGAACTGGACCCACGTTAACCTTGGCTTTGATGGGACCTACAGCGCCATTGTAACCTGTGAATTCTGGGTTGAACACTTCGTCAAACTCTGATAGTAGGCTCTGGATCTCGGACTTGATATTGGTCGGCATGAGTTCATCGGGGTCAAGGTTGACCCTATCACTGTAGTGAGACAGGTTGGGAGTTTTGACCCTATGGGGTTCAGTGTGCGTGGTAGGGGTAACTGTGATATCCTCTGGGTAAGTCGTGGCTCTTACTTTGCAGAAATGTTCATTTCGTTTCAAGGTCTGTGGTTCTCCAGTGAGATTTGGTATCCTGATTTTCCCTGCAGCACTAGTGAGGACTGAGGGGGCAGTGAGAGGCGATGAGTCGTGTGGTTCTATGCTCATCTCACCATCCGATGTGGCGAGGTCAGCTGGCAGGGCTACTTCAATATAATCTCCTGGCCACAGTGTGGTGAGGGCAGGGGCACGTAGAACATGGGCCCTCCTCACTGCATGTATGTCCATAGTAGTCTCTGTGGATCCGTACTCGTACAGAGTATGATCCCCGAGTAATGCTTGGCGTTTTGCTGGACGTATGGATATATCGTTGCGTTCCATGAAAGGGATACCGGCAAGACCATCAGTGTCTAGATTTTCCACGACAAGTCCCTCAAAATATAAGTCGTGGTTGTCACGGGACACCACCATACGTGTTTCGCCCAAGACGTTCAAAGGCGATGACCTATCGGCTTGGTGAGCAGATTGATTGCTGTGGGCAATTTTGACACCCAATCTTACCGCACATGATGCACGAATCATGTTTCCAGTGGCCCCACTGTCGATGGTGAGGCGTAAAGGCATATGACCTTGAAACACGTCCAAGTACGGGGATTGGCGGATACGTACGCGGTTGATAAGACTTTCTGTCTTTAATACCTCATCTCCTTCTGGATCAGCCATATTGTCAGCATATCTCTCCAGTTCCACTGACACTTGTCGAGCTCTTGCGAAAAAATTTTTTCTTGTGTGGGAAGGAAGCTACATTTACTAAGGAAGTGATTGTTAGGCCTTCCCGCTTCCTTGCACAACGGACAAGACTTCTGGGGTCTGGACCGCTGATCTCGCTGATCTCGCGACACGATATGAGCATGTGGTGTATATGGCAATGTACCTCGCGACAGACCAGACACAGCGGCTCTCAT